AGAAAGTAGCCATCCAAAACAAAAAAGTACTTCTACTGCATCAAGAAGCTACTGAACACACTTCCATTACGTTCCTCGATGCCTTGAGTTTCATCTGTGTAGATGAGTTTGTCAGGGAATCTGTCTGAAGGAATGGGTTTATCAGCTATTTGTGTAAACAGAAAGAGGTAGAAGTGGTGGGACCTGTGAATGAGAATGTTGATACAATGGATGTTTCACAGCCGCATCTGGTGTGGCTTCATGCAGATCTTTCCTGAGGATTTTGACTGGAGTTTTCAAGCTCATGAAGTGCAGGTTAGCTATCACCATCTTACAAAAATGACTACAAAGATGGGCATGTATAAGAAGCTGCTAAAATACAACATGGAGAGTAGAATGACTGTTACGTTAATTTTGCTGCCATTGTTTCCAAAGCTATGAGGTAATTTTGCTTTTCTGCTTCTTCAAGAAAGAGGAAAAGGAGTGTTTTTATGTATCTTTGTCTGGATCATGGCTTGGGTTAAGCCACTTGGGTTTTTTGGTGGATTTTTTTCAAGGTTCCTTTTCCTTTTTCGCTCTGATAGATTTAGTGGATTAAAATAAAAGTTAATCTGTAATATCGTACTTTATATGGCTGTATCTTAGAAACATTCAGGAGTTTCTGCTAACAACTGAAAGAAGCTTTCAGCTTTTACAAGTATTTGACCTTTACTGCCAAGTGGGAAAGTAGAAGAGCGAGCTGGTCGTTTTTATGCCTTGTGTGCAATCACAATAGTATTAATTTTCTCCCTGAATGTCACTTTTCAGTAGTGTGTCATGCAGAGTCCAGTTCCTCTCTTAGGTTAAAATTAATTATCAGTAATTGTAAATGTAGATAGGAAGGTCTGAACTGGGTGCATGAACATGAATGATCCTGGTTTTGTTATGTCACTTCTTTAAGTAGAGAGCTGCACCTTTACATTGTCAGTGTTCTCACAGATACTATGATTAATGATTCTATTAGATGAAGGGTTATCAGCTGACTGCTGAGTGTGGACTTGGCATCAGGCGATAGAGAGGACATAGTTGAAATACTCAGCAAGCTTGTTTGTAATTTAGATATAAATAAAGTTTCTTCTGTGAGAAGTGGCTTTCAAGTATACTTGTTTCTTGCCTGGGAAGAGTTGTACAGAGCTTATGTTCTTTCTGCATATTACATACCAGGCTGCTATTATCTATTTACTCTTAGTTTAGTATTTTACACCAGTGAAAATTGTGTGTGAAGAGAAATGCATATGTGAGTGTGACAGTGTTCCTTACCTCAAGCAGTGTTCAATGCTCTAAAGGTAATAGCAACAGTCCAAGGCCCAAAACAGGGAGAAATCAAGTCTTGGTCCATTTATTCAAGCTCATACCATTATTGGTGGGAGAAGGAGAGGACTTTGCTGTGTGACACATAGCTGAGATCACATTAGAGTGGGAGAAGATTTAAAGCTATTTTAGAAGGAGTCCCACTCCACTTCCTGCCCTCAAGGTCTTAGTAACTGGCATCCAGTGATTCCCCTATATAGTCTGTTATCAGGGGAACAGACATAGAGGCATGAAAACAAGCAAGCATATGGAGTTAAGCTTGTGATCGTAATTCCCGTGCCTCCAGGGAATGCATTAACCTCTCCCATAAAATAGCAGTCATCTCAACCTGCAGCATAACTGGGAAGTATCTGCAGGTTCACGTGCAGGGATTAAATGTTGCACTTATGGTATTTTGACTTACAGATGCTGCTACAGATGCTGGTAGATTCAGCTGCTTTTAGCCTAGTGAAAATTGCTTTTCTGAGGAGGCTGTAGTAGTCTTCAGATGAACAACATTAGTTTGACTAACTCACCTTTAACTAACTGGCTTATTCTCATATAATAGTTAAGTCAAAGTAGTATTACTTTATTATATATTGAAATAATTACTCAAGGCTTAAGGCCAATCTTACATAGTACTTGGGTAGACAGTCTGTCTTTGTAATACTTGCATAACGAAGCATCACTGATTTCAGTAGCAATAGGGCCTAAATCATGGTTTTATGCCACCAGCTTTTTCTGACTGTATTTGCACCAGTATGAGAATTACTGTAATATATCTAATCTATTAGATAGATACAGAATCAGATTTCAAAGCTCTTCCACACCACCCACATTTCTGCAGTATTTCCTTAAAGTTAACTTTTGTGGCTGGCATGGATATAGTTAAAGTAATGTGGATAGTTAAGAGTGCTGCAGTTTTCTAAGGTTTCCCGCATAAAATTAAACGTTTGCTCTGTACAGTATGTGTGCTATGTGAGGAATTAAAATGGCTTTCAGTCAGGGCACTGATTGTAGATTTTCTTATCTCAGGCATTTGTTTTAAGTACTTTGCACCCTCCTCATTCAAATAATGGCAGAAGCAGGCTCTGCTGTGCATTGAAAGGAAAACAAGATTGATTTAGACTTTTTAAAGTGATGATCACAGAAATAATGAGAACCATCCTTATGGGAAATTTCCTCATGGAAAAGATGCATTACCATGTTCTTAACTATTTTTAGGACTGCAATTCTTCTGTAACTTACATTGGTATTTTTTCCCACTCAGTCTTTTGAAGTCTGTTTACTCACAAGACAGCAGTTTGAGGTTGTCTTATTGTGTTCCAGTCCTGCAAGTGTAGAGGTCGATAGTGCATATTCAGGTGCACAAAGCTTTTCAGACATTTGCAGCATCTTAGTGCATGGCCTTTTCTGTGGTAGAAAATACTGTTGAACCTGGTCTTAAGTGAATAGATGATGGATTGCTTTAGGCTGTCGAAGAATAATTAAATGTAATCCTCATTAGAGTCTGACTGGTTTTTAAAGTGCGCCTCTAAAGAAGGGGATTAAACTGCTCCTGTGTAAAGCTCTTCAGTAATAGCATTCACATTATCCTTCATTCAAATGCATAATTTTAAACTATACTCCGTAATATTTATGTCCAGTATAATTAGGTTGAACATAGTTCACACTTGAATCAATTTAGAAACCAATTACTCTGATGCTATTTGCAAGCTGTTGGAATAGTTGTGCTTACAGTTTCTTTCCTTTTTGTCTGTGGTATGAACACAGTCACACCTGAAAACTGTAGCTGTACTGCTAACTAGATCCTATGCTGTTCTGTGCTGCTTAGCTGCCTTTCAACCCTAGTTCTGTCCTTTTCTCCTCAAGTGAGTAGAAGAGTGAGAGAAGACTGGCTCTCTCACCTTCATTCCCTTCCATCAGGTGTTTCTGCACAGTGATAATATGCCCCTGAGCCTTCTCTTCTCCAGACTGAACAATACAAGCTCTCTTAGCCCCTGCTCCCTGTGAATGAGGCTCCAATCCCAGTGATGTTCTAGTCCTGTTGATGCTCCAGATATCTTTACGGCCTTGTGCTCGACTTAATTAGGCAAGTTCCTGTCTCTCTTGTACTGGGGAGCCCAGAAATTGACATAGAGCTACAGATGTGGCCTCAGTAGTGCTAGGAGGAGAGGAAGGATTACCTCCCTTGACCTACTTGCAAGCAACATCCTTTCTGATGCAGCCCTGGATACTGTTGACTGCCTTTGCCATAAGGTTGCGTTGCTCATTTATGGTCAGCTTGCTGCCCATCAGGGCCCCCAGGTCCTTTTCTGCAGAGCTGTCTTCCGACCAGTCAGCACCAGCATGCACAGGTGCCTGGGATTCCTTTCCAGGTGCTGCATTTGTACTTCTTGAGAATTTTTTTGGCCCATTCCTCCCACTTCTAAATGGCAGCACAGCCATCTGTTTGTCAATCAACTCCTCATAGTTTGCTCTTGTCAGCCAACTTGCTGATTGAACTTTCTTCCATCCAAGTTGTTCATGAAGATGTTGAACAGTATTGGACTCAATATCAACCCCTGGGGTATAATGCTACTGAGTTGCCTCATAGGGATCTTGCTGCAGCTGATCACAAGCCTCTAGGCCCAGCCATGCAGCCAGTTTTCAGACCCCGTCTCTCTGTCTGCTTATCTAATCCAAGCTTTGTCAGCTTGTATATGAGGATGTTATGGGAAGTCACAATAAAAGCCTTAGTAAAGTCAAGATAAGCAACATCCACTGTTCTTTCAGCCACTAAACTAGTCAGGTCACTGAAGAGTTCTATCAGGGTGGATAAGCATGATTTCCCCTCTGTAAATCCTTGCTGACAGCTCTCAGTCATCTTTTCCTTCATGCGTTTGGAAATGGTTTCCACGGTTAGTTGCTCCGTCACCTTCCCAGAGACAGATTAGGCTAGCCAAGTCTGCAGTTCCCTGGATCATCCTTCATCTCCTTCTTGCAGATAGTAGTGACTCTTGCTGCCTTCTGATCTTCAAGGATCTCCCAATTGTTGTGACCTTTTAAAGATTACCAGGAGTGGCCTTGCACTGCTTCTTGCAGTTGCAGCCTATTAGGCCTCCACGGACTTACATACATCCACTTTAAGTGCTCCTTAGCTTGGTCCTCCCCTGCTAAGGAAAGTCTTCCTTGATCTGGATTTTTCCTCTGGTCTCAGGGGTCTGAGATTCCCAAAGGCCTGTCTTATTGGTAAAAACTGAGGTGAAGAAGGTTTTGAGTACCTCAGTACTTTCCATATAATTTTCCACCACATCCCCTGTCCTGTTCAGCAATGGGCTGAATGAGGGCTAAATTAATACTCCAGTTTTCTATCACTTTGGTGCTTAAGTGCACACTTGATGTTGTGTACAGTCACACCGGACACTTGACTAGACATACCTGACATACCCTTTTCATCGTAAGGGCTAGAGAATGTACCCAGGAGAACTGATTAAATAGTTTGAGTGGTGCAGTTCTGTAATCTTTATTCCTTCTGACATTTGTCCTGCTGGATGTTTTCAGCAGTCAGCATACTGTTGTGAAATAAAATGTTACTGCTCAAACATTAAGAGAAAAACATGTTGTTTTTATAAATACTCCTTTCATTACAAGGCACATAAATCCAAGGCTTGTTTTTTAACTTGCTTTTTACTTTCTTTCCTTTATTGCAGAATCTCAAAGTTGCACGGAAGCCATTAACCACTCTATGGTGATGTCTGACAGCACTGTGGGTACTAACCCTACTTTGTTGAGGGCCAACATGCAGATGGATCCTTCCTTTCAGCATTGTTTTGCATCTTCATATGTTGTTTCAAGTAACAGTCTTATCCCAGGTGGAGAAAGGTAAGAAAAGATTCTCCTACCTTATTGTTTAGTTCTTGTAAATATAGTTTCCAGCCAAAATGTTATGCTTGCATCTTCATTGCAGAGCATTTGTTCAAGGGCTTTGAGTTTGGTTGTGACATTTAATGGTGATTTTGTCTACCAGCTGGAATTTTCCCCATACACAGATGTTATTTGTATTTCAGGGACACAATTACCTTTGAAGATAAATAAGAATACAAAAATAAATAGGGATTTATAGCTCAGTTTATTTTGTGCTAGCATAAGCTCAAACATTTTCCTCTGTGCTTAACCAGTAAATCATAAGATTGAGCAAAGTATATTTCCATTTTCTGAGGAGGAGGCAATGTAACATTTCTTTCTAAGTGGATATGAATTATCTTGCAATGTATTTGTTGTCCTGTTTACTTCAAACTTTATCTAGAAAATTTTGTTCCCTTCTTTCTAAATATTTTTTCTGTCATTTTTCATTTCACCTAGCAGATAGCTACAGCTATGGCTTTTTTTTTCTTGCAATGATGTCTTCTTCCATTTGCTTCCCTTCCATTTCTTTGTAGGCCTTCTACTTTGTTTGAGTCTACTGATACCCATTTCCACAGCAACCTTTTGAATTAAAATCCTTTGTCTTTTCATGTATCTATATACTCTCCTCTTTTTTTTTTTTTTTTTTTTTTTTATGAGCATAAGAGACTCTGCACGTGAGAGCTTCTGTGACTGTGTCACTTTGCTTCCATAAACCTCTGCCTTTGATGGCAGCCTTGGCTTATGAAATTCCTTCCTTCAACTGCACTTTTTCAGGTAGCACTGCAGCTCACCATACAGAGATCTCTAGGACCACCATATCTGAAGAAATTCTGCAAAAAGCCTCACTGAATTGATTAGTATTAAAAGTATCCTTCTCAAACAGCTGGAAGGAAGAGTATTTTTAACTGTGATTAACTTGTTGGCCTGGTTGCAGTGCAAATTGCAACCACCAGCATGGCTAAGTGGAGGGCGAGTTGAGGCAGAAAAGCAATGACCTACACTGAAAAAAGAAGGGCTGGGGCTGCAATCCTTTGATCCGTCTGCATCACCAGGTCCAGCATATTGTGAAAGAGCACCCTTAGCTTCACCACGACCCTTAGTCGTGGGTGAGGTGATTCATTGCTTTCAATGATTGCTGCAGTGTGGGTTGTGCCGTGACATTTTAAATGAATGGTTTGTCGTTTGATTTTCATGTTTAATTTTTGCCTTTTTTTAACAGCTCTTCTGCAACACAACGTCCTTGGCTTGAAAGCAGTGCCAAAGCTTCCCAGTCGCTCCAGCTTTCAGTGGGAAACAGCAGGCTGCCAGGAGGTTACCTTGTGCCCTCTGAATTTTCAAACACCATGCAAGATGTCTCTCTCTTGTCTCATTTCCAAACACCAGAACTGCAAGTTGTCACCCTGAGCAGCCTGGAAAATTCACTAGCAGAGCCACAGCAAGAACCCGCTTCCAGCAGCAGTACCCGGGCCTACCTGAGCTACACTGGGGGCAACATGGGCAGTAGGACCCCCCGAGAGGAGAAGCAAGCTACTTTCATAGCCAATACTGGCATCTCTCCTAAAAGCATGAGTTTATCAGTGGCAAGTGCCGAGGACAATGGCTTTTTGACACAAAACTTTCTTACAGTGACCCCTGGACACGATAGCCAGAATAGTGTGGTTCAGCAGCACCATGGTGGGAACCTACATACTCAACCACCTCTTCCAGAGAAAAAGAGGACCTCTGAAGGAGACCGTTCCTTTGCCTCCATCTCACCTTCTTCAAGTGGCTTCTCTAGTCCCCACAGCGGAAGCACAATCAGCATCCCATTCCCAAATGTCCTCCCAGATTTCTCAAAAATGATAAGCACTTCCCCAGTGTCAGGTAGGTTCTCCATTAGGGAAATGCAAAATACATTAGATGGTATGTGAGAGTATAGGAAGCATTTAGGAGATGTTAAGGGGGGTGAAGTGTAAAAAAAAAACCAAAACAACAAACAAGAAAAAGCAATAGAATAGTACAGAGGATGTGAATGTTTGCAGTAAGTGGCACCTGTTTACTTGCTGGGGATGTATTATTCAGAGAACAAGGCTGCAGAGTTCTTTCTGTGCCAAGGGCAGCCTAACTTGAACGGCCAAACCAAAGCAAGTGGTGTGGTACACTTCTTTTAATAAGGGCTGGCTTCTCTCTGCACTTTTCTAGACTTGTGTCAAGAATAGTTAAAAATATGGATGTGTATTCACGGGACCTCACTGAGAAGCTTTGTATTTAATACAGCTGTATAAATGTATGTGTGTTTATTATTTTATGGGATTTGCAAAATTAAACATAAAAAATGCTTTCAGAATCATAGTGTATAGTATTATATATGCTGGTTTTAAAACAGAGTTTCTCTAGATTGTTCTTTTAATCATGATTTTTTAGATTAAGGTGGTTGGAGGTTGGAAAGAAAGTAAAAAATGCTTCTGTATTTTAAAAAAATTATTTACATTTTTTTTCCTTTTTATTTCACAGAAAACACAGCTGATAAACATGTGACCGTAAAATTTGTCCAGGACACATCGAAGTTTTGGTATAAGCCAGATATTTCAAGAGAACAAGGTATATCAATTGATACATATACTGGCAGACTCATTCACAGTAAGGCTAGATGATTAGTTCTTTTTTAATATATATACCTGGTGTATAAAACAAAAAGAAATACGAAGCCTAAAAGGGCCACAGACACCTTCACTTGATTTCTTTTCTCCAAAGGATGAAATTGAGTGGAGGGCAGCCAGTCCTTAAAAAAAATAAATTAAAAAATCATCAGTTAATCAGACAAATAATAGAATCATGGAATGGTTAAGGTTGGAAGGAACCTTAAAGATCATCAGGTTCCAACCTCCCTGCCATGAGCAGGGACACCTCACACTAGACCAGGCTGCACAAGCCTCATCCAACCTGGCCTTAAACACCTCCAGGGATGGGGCATCAACAACCTCCGTGGGAAATGTATTCCAGCACATTACTACCCTCATGGTGAAGAGTTTCTTCCCGATGTCTAACCTTAATCTACCCTCCTTCAGTTTAAAACCCTTGTCCTGTCACTGCCTTCTCTGGTGAAAAGGCCTTCCCTGCCTTTCCTGTAGCCCCTTCAGGTACTGGAAGGTGCTATAAGGTCTCACCAGAGCCTTCTCTTCAGCCTTCTCCAGGCTGAACAGCCCCAACTCCCTCAGCCTGACTTCACAGCAGAGGTGCTCCAGCCCTTTAATCATCTTGATGGCCCTTCTCTAGACCCTCTCCACATCTTTCCTGTGCTGAGGGCACCAGAGCTGTACGCAGTACCCCAGGTGGGGTCTCACTAGAGCAGAGTAGAGGGGCAGAATCACCTCCCTGGCCCTGCTGGCCACACTTCTTTTGATGCAGCTCAGGATGCAGTTGCTCTCTGGGCTCCAGCACACACTGGTGGCTCATGTTGAGCTTCTCATCTACTACCACCCCCAAGTCCCTCTCCTCAGGACTGCTCTCCAGCCATTCTCCCCCCAGCCTGTATTTGTGCCTGGGGTTGTGCTGACCCAGGTGCAGGACCTTGCACTTGGCCTTGTTGAACTTCATGAGGTTGGCACTGGCCCACCTCTCCAGCCTGCCAAGGTCCCTCTGGATGGCCTCCCTTCCCTCTAGGGTGTCAACCACACCACACAGCTTGGTATCATCAGCAAATGTACTGAGGATCCACTCAATCTGACTGTCCACGTCTTCAACAAAGATGTAAAACAGCACTGGTCCAAATACTGACCGCTGAGTAACACCACGCATCCCTTGCCTCCATTTGGACACTGAGCCGTTGACTACAACTCTCTGGATGCAGCCATCCAGCCAATCTCTTACCCACTGAGTGATCCATCTGTCAAATCCATGCCTTGTCAGTTTGGAGACCAGGATGTCCTGTGGGACAGTGTCAAGTGCCTTGCACAAATCCAGGTGGATGACATCAGTTGCTCTGCCACATCCACCATCTCTGTAGCCTTGTCATAGAAGGTCACCTGATTGGTCAGGTATGATTTGTCCTTAGTGAAGCCATGTTGGCTGTCGCCTCTCACCTCCTTATTTTCCATGTGCCTTAGCAGACTTTCCAGGAGGATCTGCTCCATGATGTTGCCAGGCACAGAGGGGAGAGTGACCGGCCTGTAGTTGCCTGGGTCTTCCTTTTTCCCCATTTTAAAAACAGGGGCTGTGTTCCCTTTTTTCCAGTCGGCAGGAACCTCACCAAATCGCCATGACCTCTCAAGTATGACGGACAGGGACTTAGCAACTGCATCTGCCAGCACTCTCAGGACCCGTGGATGAACCCCATCAGGTCCCATGGACTTGTGCACCTTCATGTTCTTTAGATGGTCACAAACCTGTTCTCCTCCTACAGTGGGATGTGCTTTGTTCTCCCAGTCCTTGCTTTCACCTGCTGTGGCCTTTGTGATGAAGCTCTAGCACTTGCCAGAGAAGGTTGATGCAAAGAAGTCACTGAGGACCTCAGCTTTCTCAATGTCCTGTGTAGCTAGCTCACCCATTCCCTTCAGGAGAGGGCCTATGTTTTCCTTGGTTGTCCTTTTCTCCCCAGCATACCTATAAAAGCTTTTCTTACTCCTCTTAATATCCTTGTTGAGATTTAATTCTAGCTGGGATTTGGCTTTCCTAACCTGCCTGTTTTAACACCCTCTCTGTAATCCTCCCAGGGTACATGCCCTGGCTTCTACCCTTTATCTTCTTCCTTCTTTAGTTTGAGCTTTTCTAGGAGCTGCTCGCTCATACATGCCAGCCTCCTGGAGTTATTACCTAACTTTCTCCTAGTTGGGATACATCGCTCTTGGGTCTGGAGATCCTTGATCCTGGAGATCATTCAGCTTCCATGGGAAACCTCTTCCCTCCAGAATGTTATCCCATGACACTGTCTTGGGCACATCCCTGAAGAGGCTGAAATCTGCCCTCCTGAAGTTAAGGGTAGTAAGCTTACTGTGAGCCCTTCTTGCTGCCCTAAGGATATTGAACTCCACCATTTCATGGTCACTACAACTAAGGCTGCCCTTGAGCTTAGCATCCCTCACCAGGCCTTCCTTGTTGGTGAGAACAAGGTCCAGCATAGCACCTCTCCTTGGTGGTTCCTCAATTACCTGGAAAAGGAAGTTGTCATCCATGCACTCTGAACCTCCTGGATACTTTATGTGCTGCAGAGTTGTCCCTCCAGCAGATATCAGTGTGGTTGGAGTGCCCCATGAGCACCATGGCTTGTGAATGTGAAGCTGCTTCTATCTATATGTAGAGTGCCTCATCTATACTGTCCTCCTGGTCAGGTGGTGTGTGTCACATCCCACAAAGTGGGCATGGCTCCCCAGAGGTGGGGGCCCAAAGTAAATATAAGTATCTCTTTAAACAACCCATTTGGTAAGATGGAAATCAGGAAATCTCTGTGCGGTACTCCAAGGGTGAGAACGATTACCCAGGAGGCTTTCACAAAACACACCTTTACTTAAAATTGAATAAGATTGTCAAAAGTAAACCACAGTATATTCTCAAAAGCAACGGATTGCAAATAGAATAACTTAGCAAAAAGATACTTTCAAGGCAATAGATTTTGACTTAGAAAGCTTGAGGAAATTGTCAAAACAACATATTACACCTGACAGAACTTAACAAAGATATCAAAGCAACAGCTTACAATTAGCAAAATTTGTCAAAGCAACAGGTTATAAAAATTCAATGAAGATAGAGACTATGTTACCCTTATGTGCCGAGATGAGGTTAGAAACAGAGAGAGGGAGAAAGAGAGAAAGAAAAAACAGGTAAGAGAGGTAAAGAGGGATAGAAAAGATAACTCCACCCTTGGATCCAGTGATGATCTTGGTAGGAAGATGTGGTCCTTGAATGGTGGATGTGCTCCAAATGTCTGAAGCCTGCATCTTTTATGCTACCTGGCCCCACCATTTCAGGGGAGCTTGCCATATCTTGCAGAGACTCAGTATAGAGTTTTAGAGTGTTTTAGAAATGAGTCAGTGGGGCATGGGAGTCCAGGTGACCACCTGGGTTGACCGAGCAATGACCCTTAGCTCTGCACATGCACCCTGTTGGGTGATCTTACAGAGGCCTTACACAAGATGGCATTCTGTCTCCACAGGGTGCTGCCTGCATGCCAGTGTTCATTGTTAAATAAGGGCAGTGTCCTGCATATCAGAGTGGCCACCAAAGGAGAGGATCCTTGTGCGAGGACAGTGTCCAGCTTACTGGGATGACCACCAAAGGAGGGGCTCTACTTGCAAGACCAGGGCCCAGTTTATCAGGTGGTTAACCAAATGAGGGTCTCTCCTTGTGAGAACAGGGTCCAGGTGGCTTATCAGATGAGGATCCTGCCTGAGCACAATGTCCATTTTGTCAGGGTGGCTGTTTTGAGACAAATATTCATTTAGGGACGCTACAGCCTGTAGCAGACCCCCACTGTAATGTCACTTGTCCCTGCCTTCCCTTTAACCTTAACCCATAAGAACTCAGTTGGCTCCTCATCCATCCCCAGGGAGAGTTCCATACACTCACTGGTCTTTGACATAGAGGGCAACACCCCCACCTTGTCCTCCCTGCCCATCCTTAATTATCAGCCTAACTGAACTAACTGCAGAGTAATTTAAATCTCCTTGTGGTAGCTGCTGCAAATGCGCTTTCCTGAAAATCTCCAGGTTTTGGAATGGCAGATATGTGTGTTGGAGTACCAGGCAACTGTCTGCTCTCAGATGCCTTGTGAGTACAAGTGTGCTACTTTGGCATGACCTCAGCCATGTATGTTCCCTGCACAGATAATAGATCTAGAGATGCCAAATACCAGAGAGTGATTCATTAGCTAGAAGTCATCATGAAAGCATCCTCATATACCAGTCGTTCTGTAGCCTGAATTTCATTGTCAGCTGCAAGTGAAATACATTATTTCTCAAAGGCCATGAAATACCACGCCCCCCCGGCAACAGCAGCTTTGTACAATACAGACAGTACATCTATGTGTAGATGTGTTATTGAACGAGATGGAGAAAACTCTTACTATTCATCTGAAAATGTATGCATAGGAACTTACTCCCTGCCCCTACATAATGCATAAATTAAGTGTTCTGAGTGCTTTGCAAATGCAATTGGTCTGACAGTGCTTGTGTCTGTGTTCTAATATTCAACTCTACTGAATTGTTTTTAAGGAGTCATGGCAGGGTTTTGAACTGAGGTTCTTAAAATGTAGTTGTCAAAAAGGAAAATGATGGATGAGTTCTGTATTGGAAAGAAAGTTCAAGCTAAACAAAAATAGCCTTCAGCTAATGGCAAATGATGAATTTATGTCTGTTTGGTTCATATTTTCTCAAATAATGAGAATCTCTCTTATAGTATATTGGTAAATATGAGCCCATGGAAAAGAAGGTCATAGAAATAGATCATTAATTCGTCTTTTGGTGACATTTTGCCAGTCCTTTCACTTCAGTCCCCTTCCTCTTTTATGCTCCTGATCCATAATGAGAACTGAGTCTTTAAAAACTTTCCTAACTTGATGCAAGTCCAGAGAGGGCAGTAGACCATAAAGGAAGTTTAAACCTAGCTGCTTGAACAAATTAAAAGTAAATATTCCCAAACTTTTAGTATGCCTCTTTTCATCCTACCAAGTAAAATTCCTTTTAAAAAGTGTTTTAAGATACTGTTGCTGAGGAGGGAGCAGATTTGTACTTTTTTCCTGTGCTTAATGGACTCCTACTGTGAAAAATTATTACTGTCCTCTTGCAGATTTAGAAGTGTTACTAGAATACTACTGAATAGCAAGGGTTTACATATTTACCTTCTTCTCTCAACCCATAGCAAGTTATTTTGAAATTCTTTGTTTTCTTTAGCATCTGACAGATGAATAGAACAGAATGTATAAGCATTTGCTTTACTCACTGAAAAGAGGAGAGGCGATTATGTCTCAATTTTCCTGATTTTCATATCCATTATCATGGATAAAAAAATGTGTGTGTCTGTCATGTAATAATTGCTCGTGCCTTGCAAAGTACGGCTTCATATCCTATATGCATAATTTCCGTGTTCTGTGTTAAGGACTCCAGGGTCAAATTTCGGCTTTTCCTTGGGTTTTTTGAAGGCTTGCTGATCATTAGAAACTCTGGAAAGTTCCAGAAAGTTTAAGGAGGAAAAAAAAAAAGCGTAGTACTGAGGCTTTATTCAGATCAATAATTGGATGAGCTTTCTGTCTTTTTTCAAAGTGTGAGCATAAGATTTTGGGCTACTAGATTTCAAAGTCAAAAGTAGGCTTGTGCAAAGCAAGAGCAGTTGCCCTGCAAATTGTTCCCCCTGGGGTGGACTTCATACCACACTCCAAGCAGAGATCACAGAACATAGACAAAAAATATTTGAATGCTTGGACAGTGAAAGAGCAAATATTCACTTAACATCCCTTCCATTGCTTTAGAACTAGTAAAGGAGTGAGATTGCTCTGCAGGGACAGAAACTTGGTGGTGCATTCTGAAGCTGCACAGGAAAAGAAAAATGGTGCTGTTTAGTCAGCCTGGAAATTACAGAGAGCTGTGCTCTATGCCATGCTTCTAACAAGCTTACAAAATGTAAGCAGGAATTGGCTTGCTCTTGGACTGGTCATAGGAATCCTGGTGGGACCTTCACATCCTTCTCAGTTTACAAGTTAGTAGGGATCTGTTCTTCAGGCTTCGCTTGAAATAAGTGTATGTGAGATTTGCACAAGAAGTTTTCACTTGTATCCCCCAAATGTGCTTGGTTGTGTTCTGTTCTACAGCTGTGGACACTGAGAAAAGGATTTTACTTCCTTTTGTCTCCTACTAATGATAGATGTGCAGTCCTCTACTTTTTGGTTGTGTGCATTGTGCTGGAACTGTTTTTCTCTCTCTTTCCTGGAATCCCTTGCAGCCATTGCAGTTCTCAAGGACAAGGAACCTGGTTCATTCATTGTTCGAGACAGTCATTCTTTTCGGGGAGCCTACGGCCTAGCAATGAAGGTTGCTACACCACCTCCTACTGTGCTGCAATTAAACAAGAAAGGTACTATTTGCCTTTTATCTATTGTTTAATAAGTCATACATAGCAGGAAGTCCTTTTTACTGCATAATAACCCCCCACCTCCTGCTTCTAGTAAGTGTAAATTGAATTATAGGCTCCATGTGGGACCTTGTTAAATGGCACTGAATAAGTTGTCTGTTGTAATTTATAGTTTTACTGTGGCTTGTAAATGTGTGTTCATTGTGACTGTGTATGTATTGTGCCTTATAAACCGAACAGAAAACCTGTGTCATCTCAGTATAGTCTAGAGAGGAGAAGACTGAGGAGGGATCTAATGAATGTCTGTATGTCTATAAATACATGAGGGCTGGGTGTCAAGAAGGCAGGGACAAGTTCTTTTCACTTATGCCCTGTGACAGGACGAGGGGCAATGGATTCAAACATAAGCACAGAAGTTCTGCCTCAACACGAGGAAGAACTTTACTGTGAGGGTTACAGAGCACTGGAACAGGCTCCTCAGAGAGGCTGTGGAGTATCTTTCTTTGGAGACTTTCCAGACCTGTCTGGATGCCTTTCTGAGTGATCTGCCCTAGTTTTGTTTTTTTTTTTTGTTGTGATTGTTTGTGGATTTTTTGGGGGCCTGCTCTGGCGGGGGGGTTGAACTCGATGATCTTCAGAGGTCCCTTCCAACCCCTAATATTCTGTGATTCAGTAGTTGGTCCTCCCTAGCAGTCAGAAATCTGCGTTTCATCCACATACCACCATGTGAAGCTTTCACTTGGGTGGAAGGTTCCATTTTTGCAATATATGTGTGTCTGAGGATATTCCCTAAGGAAAGATGGTAGTTTTTAAAAGAAGTGACTCATTGGAACAAGTTACCCAGGGAGGCTGTGGATGCCCCACCTCTGGAAGTGTTCAAGGCCAGGTTGAATGGGGCTTTGAGAAACCTGGTCTAGTGGGTGGTATCCCTGTCCATGCAGGGGGGGCTTAAATTAGATGATTTTTAAGATCCCTTTGGACCTAAACCGTTCTGTGATTCCAAGTGATTGAATATGCCTACTCCCCCAGCTCCAGTCCTTGCACGTATGACTTGTGCCTGATAGTTGTGAAAGGTAAAATGATAAGAACATACAGAAAGCATTAATCAATGCATGGAAACTCAGCAGCCAGTATCTTTATCTTCCATTTCTGTTAGTAGTGGGGTGGTTTTCATTGCTGCTTTCCTTTCAGAAGCTTATATTTCATTAGTACTTGCTGCCTGGTGAGGTAAGCATCTGAGGTCATAGGAAATCAGTCAGTGGTTCCTAGTGTCATCAGTAAAAGAAAAATTGGCTTCATGATGGCTCAAACCAGGACAGTTGTGGAGGTATGGCTTTGTCTGGTTTTGGTTGGTTGATTGGCTATTGTTGAGCTTTTTTTAAGATTTCATGCTCCCTCTGGGGCATGGTTACCAGTCCACCTCTATTACAATAACACTTCCAAGTTCTGCACACTTAATCTGGTATGTTGAGACAGTTTCTAGTGAAAAATTGTCAAGTGATCCCTTTTATTGTCAAGAAACGCCAGCAGAACCACTGTCACGTCTTATTAAATGAGACAACAGGGATGCACAGAGGTGCTGATAACAAAATGAGGTGAATGGAGAGTGGCTATAGGTGTTTTTAGTGATCTTTTTTATTACCAGACTAGTGAAGTCCAGGAATACATGGAAGTTCAAACTCTACTAGGCTTTAAGTGCTAATTTTATGGTAGTTGTACCACAGATGGGTGGTAATAAGAGAAAATTTTAGTTGAGACTCTAGCATTATTCCACTTCTTGCTCTTTGATACTTAGGGTTTTTTTTATTCCCACAATGTCATCCCAGAAGGCACAAATGTGTTCAGTTTCCTGCAGGGTTTCTTGTTCCTGGCTTCCTCTTCCCACATGCCCTTGTAGTAATTTATTTTTATTATTGTGAGAGCATAACAGCACACAGTAAGCAGTTCGAAAAGGTGATGTTTGCAATATTTGCTTGCATGGAAGTTTCTGCTGTCCAGATTAATGTGTTTATCTGTATTATGCTGAAAGCCCTTGAAGTCATGCGTTTTCTGAGCTGTCTGATAGATCAAAGGGAGCATTTGTGTTTGTGACTCTTTTGTTATAGATTGAATAATAGAGTAACTTTGTCCCATTGCTATGAAATAACTCTTTAATTACATGGAAAGAGATACAGTTTGTAGTCAGGTGTGAAATACTGTGAACCAGTCTTTCAAGAAATAATGAAGCTATCTTAAATATATGTGTACATATGTATGTATATGTTTAAAACAATGCTAAATCTCAAGGGAATATTTATATGCTTCGTGGACTGTGAATCTCCTAATTACATCCAACTCAAATATTTTTATTTGTCCTGGATTCCTGAGAGATAAAACTTGTATTTAAAAATCTAGTGAAACCTAAGTATTTCATGTAATTGTTTTCAGGAGCTAACACTTAGTGTAAAACTGCAAACATTTTTAAACTTAAAAATTCATGGAGTGGCTTGGCATCATTACCTTTGTGTAGCTAAGTCTGCCGTTGTTTTAATTTGGAAGTTTTGTGAGCAGACCTGTCACTAGAGATCTATGTATTTTATCATACTTTTATCCCCTTGTCATATTAGATACAAGCTCTTCTAATGAGCAAGTGTGTCAGAATTTCTAACCATTGACATCCCAAATTTCTATTCCTGTATGTAGTTGGGACCATGCTTGGACCTTTTGGACACCAGTGTATATTTGGACGTTAGTCAATTATGACTCTGGTTGTCTAAAGTGAGCTATTTGTTTATTTTTTGAAAAATGACCTTTTTACTAAGGCTTGTAACCTTGCAGCAGAGCAGATCAAATGTATTCTTTGCATTCTGTATATAAAACATTTGGTGATAATGTGAAAAACTGGTTCATAAAGACCTGCTAACTTGTGAAACTGTTGTTTGTTCATTGCTTCTCTTAATGAGTTTTCTTTTTCAACACAGTTGGAGATTTGTCAAATGAACTTGTAAGACATTTTCTGATTGAATGCACTCACAAGGGAGTACGCTTGAAAGGATGCCCAAATGAACCATATTTTGGTAAGTACTGTGCATCACAGGGACAGAAAACGGAAAGCTTGCATTTGCCAGAGCTATTTTATAGACTTAGATGGAGTGCAAATGAGAGAATATTTTGCTCAAATCCTGATGATTTCTGTAGGAACCCAGTCTAAGGTAATAAGAGCCTCGTATGCATTTACCTAAAGTATATGTGCAGGGCACTCTAGCATAGATGCACATGGCCGAGTTTCAGGCATTCAAGCTTGTCTTGCCACTACCAATGGTATTGCAGACAGCTGAGCTGGATGACTGTTACAGCAGTAGATTCAGGAGCTTTGCCTTATTTTGTCCTGTCTTATGTTTATATTGTATACTGGGTGGCTAAAATGACACCAGAGTGGGACATTCATAAAGTACATGATGTACTTTTTAGTCAGCCTACCTAGTGCAATATAATGAAAGTGCACTACTTGTGGCAGATGTCCAAACACCTATCTAGCTACTCACTCACTTGCCCTCCTCAGCAGGGCAGGAGGAGAAAACAGGATGAGAAAGCTCATGGGTCAAGATAAAAACACAGAAGTTGCTAACCAGTTACTACTGTGGGCTAAAAAGACTGGTAACTTGGAGAATATTAGTTTCATTTATTGCCATTTAAAAACAATATTCAGGTATTGAATAACAAAGAGAAATATTAAAATAACACACTTCCTTCCCCTTTCCCAAGCTCAACTTCACTGCTTCTCCCCCAGCTCTTCCCCCAAATCACAGCAGTAGAGCAGGGTGGGAAGGGGGAGCGTATGGTCATTACAGGACAGTTTCTCTCTGCTGCTCCATTACTCTCTCACTTTTTTCCTGCTG